CTCCAGCAGCATAGGGTGACTGACTTTTTCAAAAGCCTTTGACATGCCAAGTAGGCATATGTCATCGCCTGCTGCCGATCGTACCTATTTAGAGAGTAGTCGAGGAGTTGGTATAGGGAATCTGGCTCGAGGAGATTTGCCAAAGTGGCGATCTGTGCAATCTCGTCCATTTTGATGAACAAGCTGCAAACTTTGAAACTCAAATATGAAGAGATTGTGTGTCGTCGTTGTCATCGCATCGACAAGAGTTTTTTTTGGTCTTTTATAAGGTTTTATTATTGCTATTGATGTAGCTCTGAGCTTCTGATTAGAGCAGAAAAAACTGGTCTCTACTCTAAGAAGAGACACGAAGAAGACTCGCGAAAAGCTGCTTGTAGAGCAACAAAATATAAAGTCGGCAAGTTCTTGCTGGGAACGACGCTACATTCGGATCACTGGATCCATACTAGGCTCAAGCGATTCCTCAGGGGTCAGCGCGAAGGCAGAAATAGGCATGCGGCTACAGCCAGAAATGGACGTGTGTACACATAGGAGAGCAAGGGAAGCGCAACGCGAGCTGTAGCAGCCAGAAACGGATACATGCTCAGAAAGGGGAGCACACCGCGACATGCATGGTAGCCAGAAATGGTTACATGCGCAGAAAGGGGAGCACACCGCGACATGCACGGCAGCCAGAAACGGGTAGATGCATACAACAGAGAGCAAGTAGAGCACACTGCTAGCTGCAGAACAGCCAGAAATGGCTGGGTGCATACAAAAGGGAATCGCTTGGTGCCAAAAAAGGGGCACATAAAATGATCACGACTGATGTTCGTGACATTGTGAATGGAACAAGAAACGGTAGGGGTGGGGCGCAGTACTAGTAGTATTATGGTCAAGGAATCCAGGGATGATAAAGGCATTGGTGTTCATTATGGTGAGTTTGAGTAGATATCTGATGGGCTTACCTGGTAAGGATTAGATTCACCGGGGTTCTTGGTCTTCTTGTTCTTTTCTACCTTGTCCGTTGCCTTGTGTGGTCTGCTTGGCTTACTTCGCAAATGCTTGGAGCGATACGCTTGACATGTAGATCTACGACGAGCCAGAAGCACAATTGCAGTGTACCCAGTCACTGCACAACTCACGATAACTAATGTAGTGGGAAGCCGAGCGATTAAGGAGGCACAACACGAATAGGGCAAGGAATAGATGTATTGTATTGAAATTTCTCCGGTGCAAGAATGCTAGACAAGCAGGAGCAGAAAGACTCAGGGACACCGAAACAAAGAGAGATGATTATTCCAGGGAGAAGTTACAAAAGACCTGCATTTGCTTCTAAACACAATTTCCTGAACAAAATGCGTCGCCATTGTGTTTACATGACGGCTTACTCACCTGGCTCACAGATAGGACAACGGGACATGTAACGTTACTGGACTGTATCGGCAGCATTGAGTAAGAAACTAAGGAAGGAAAGCACGAAATAATAATGTGAACAGACTCCGATAACCCGGCAGCTTTTATATGCAGACAGCGAAAGTACACGTACTACGAATCGGGAAAGAGCGTGGAAGGCGAAAGTCGGAAAGGTCAAAAGGGGCTACTTTGGCTGAAAAGTACTTCTAGGTAGGGGGTGCAGGGATAATGCCGGCATGCAACCTTATGCATTGTTCCAAGAGTACAGTCATGTCTAGGTCTCTGTACTCTTGATTGTACCGGTATATGACGTTGTGATTGTGTAGAGCCGGAAAACCGAGGGCGTTGCGTTAGGGTCAAGTAAATAGTTGAGGTGTTGGTTTACTCATTGTTCAGATTCAGCCTGGTCAGTGTGCAACCGTTACCTCAGTGCGGCGGCGGCGGTGTGGGTTTTGCCACCCATTGTTGCTTGTGCTTGTATCTTGCGTTTGAGGCTTGGCGGGCAGGTCAGGTCTGGCCGTAGGGGTACTACTTCTTGTAGTAGTAGTAAGTAGATCTACGTGAGTACGGATCCAGCTCAGGCTTTTTTTTGGAGAACACGCTGAAGAAGCAGCCATGCCACATGATGTATCGAAGTTAGTTCTAGTACATGTACAGTCTGTACTCGTACTGCACTGCCATGCACTGCTCTGTGTCATGCACCGGTACACAGTCCGCGGAGCATGCATACACTTTCAGCATGCTTTTTCCAGCGTGTACGCATCATTTCATGTGCAGTCATGTGCCATGTGTCGGTCAAACATGCAAATCGGCTATAGTGATGCACCGGATATAGTGATAAATTTTCGAAAATCAAAGGGGCACGTTATATCCGATATTTACTGTATTAAAAGAATAGTACTAGTCAAAATAATATTTTGAAAGGATTGGGAGAACTTCAAATTCAAAGGATCAATTGGGGAAGTGAACTGCCTGAATTTTTTCTCTTTTCAGGCAGTTCACTTCCCCAATTGATCCTTCAAAATAATATTCTTCTTCTTTATTTGCTGGTGTTTTTTTAGTCTGCACGCCAAGAAACACCGGTTACTGCAATTGTATTCCCAGCATCTGTTGATGCTTGACGCAAGGAAATCGTTATTTCTTGATGTCGCTTTCTAACGTTACTTGAATTACCCAAGGTAGTGATCTACCTAAGACTACCCGAAAGTATATCTTCACACTTTACCCATGTCATGACCTCCAATTGGTTAAACAAATTCTAATTGTCCACAAACTCCAACACAGCCACTTGCACATTCAGGAAACTTCACTTCTCAACTCCTAACTCCAAAAACTGAATTGTTAAGGGAAAACAATGGAAAATCCACAACTGGCTTTAAGGCCATCATTTTTTATATCTATGTTTCGCGTCAGTTCAACTTCCAGAATCATATGCGAGAGGTGGAAAAAAATAAAAAATTGCAAAATAATAAAAAAGGCTCATCAGAGGTGTATGCACTGTACATAGCACAATAACTCGTGCATGGTGTACATTCGAAAGAAAAATCGTACATCGAAGCACAACATCTGGGTCATCAGCATGAGTAAATATTCACTTTGGACAGAGGAGGCAACCGTTGGTCATGGTGCCTATGCTTCGCTGGAATATTGTACTCAGACTTCAGCAGCGGTGCAAAGAGCTCCGGAACGACGCATCCTCTCAGCTTAGGCGATCAATGCGGTCTGGTGTAAGCTCATAGAATATTGCTCCCAGATGCCGAACAAACGATTTACCAACGCTGGCCTAGGCTAGAGGCCATTTCTGAATCCCAGCTTCGCCGTATGCTACCTGTCCACACTGATGACTCGCACGATCGTAAACTCACTGTGCATGTTCGATTTTTTATTTTTTTCCGAAAAAAATCAAAACGTATGCGTGCGGACGACGCGAAACATAGCTATAAAAAATGATGGCCTAATCGGTCAGAAAAAGGCTAAAAGCCACTCGACCTATTTGTAAGCGATGAGATTAGGCCGTAGCGGTAAATCCATCAGCCTTGCTGGCTGTTGAATGTTGAAATCCCTCAGCCAGGTTTCTTTCCGGGGTGTAGATCAACTCTACAAAATCATTGAAAATATGACATACCTCCTTATTTTGATAGTCCACTTCACCCGCCCTTGTTAACACTAACAGTTTTTTTTTTTTTTTAATGTTTATTTGAATTCGGATAGCTCAACAGTACAGAAGTACAACTACAAAGAGTACCGAATAGAAGGCCCCGAGAACGGGAAACCAAAAAAACAAAAAAAACAAAAACAGCAACATCAAGTTACTGATTATGCACATTGCTTGAAAGCAAATCACAACAATGATTAAGAGTTAAGCTGTCTTTTAGCCAAATAGCCAATTTGACGCGGAAATCTGCGATAGTAGTGCAGGACTTCAGGTCGTCTGGTAAATAATTCCAAACAAGAGCCGATTTACTTGAAAAGGACAGAAAGCCAGACATAGATCTATAGCGATTGATACTCATGTTATGAGTTGTAGAGCCGCGAGTAGTTCGGGTAGACGTACAGATGGGAAAGAGGGACTGCAAACAAACAGCCGGCTTAATACAGTAACAGTGGAAAATGAATACAAGGAACAAAAATACTGATCGATATTGGAAAGAGGAAACATTGAGGTGGTGAAGAAGTGGCGTGATATTAGCTTGGGGTGATGCGCCACAAGCAACTCGTACAGCGCGCCGGTGGAGTGAGGCTAGCTTGTTTCTATTTTTAGCGGATATAAACGAAAGGTATACAGGGAGAGCATATTCTAAATCAGGCTGAATAACACGGGCAACGAAAGTACGGCGGGCAAACAGGTTCATCTGGCGGAAAGATCGACGCAGTACACCGATCTTCCGTGAGGCTTTCCGGACGACATTGTTAATGTGTTGGTCAAAAGATAGCTTATTGTCAACAACGACTCCTAAGCATCTGGTGCTTTCCACTTCCCCTAGCGTAACATTTGACAAGGTGATTTGCAGTTGTTGCCTTTGTTGTTGTTGCTGACTCCCTGTGGCACGTTTGGGATGGATTTGCATGACAACGGTTTTGTCGGTATTTATCTGCATACCAATGGAGCCAAGGTGGTTGTTTAGTATCTCCAGTGCCGATGACAACTTGGCTTCGGAACGCGCCTTCGACGGTGTTAGTCACGGCTAGTTGTTACCGTTTCAAGTATTCAATGATGATGATGATTGACTAGATCCTTCTTATCCTCTTTTTTATTTATTTTGTCAGTTCTAGTTTTTGACATGATTGTTCTCAGTCTATCATTATTAGTACATTTGGAATTACATGTAACGATCGATTGCATTAGCATGTCTGTCCACAACATGTTTTAAATTTTTGGAATTTGGTTGAGTTTTACTCAATACAGCACATGAATGATGACAATTGTATGGTACTCTTTGTTGGCTTTGTATTTTTATTAATTCTATTTATATGTAGAAAGGAAAAAGACATTACGAGTTAAGTTGAGAGCACTGACTAGACTCGGAGTGCACCCGCCGCAGTAGATCTAGGTGTACTGCTTCTTGCGCGCTCTGAATGAGTGTGGGAGTCTAATGACGTGAAAAACACGTCACGCAACTGTGTAGGATTATGGTTCAGACAAGGCCCACGTCATCTATTTTTGCTCTAGTTATGTCACATGTACACGTACACGCACAGCATCAGCCGGCATGAATTGAAGGTACTAGTATACAAAGCAAGACACGTATAGCATAGCATAGTATAGGGGAGGTGGTGGTCGGGGACGTGGTGGACTCAGCTTGTGAGTTTCAGCTCCTTGCGCTTCTAGCTCCCCTATTATTATACAGTAGTCATTGTACGTACTTATAATAATGACCTGCAGTCTGCACGTAATACATGTTGTAATAGGCCCCGAAATTCAAGCTGAATCGACTGCCTGATCACGGATCGTAGGGTGCCTGTTGGCTTGGTAGTGTAACTGTGTTGCACACCTAACAATAAAGCGTAACGCCGTTGTTCGATCAAGTCCAAGTCTTTACTCGACTTTAGCTGGCGTGTCCAAATAATGACGTGGGCGCCAACTGCGAGCCTCTCATCGACTCGATCGAGAGTCGAGACCGACTACATGTGATTAATGCATAATGAGTACACGTGATGTCGGTCCTCGGCAGACTTCGGCTTCGTCTACCATGTCTACCATTGGTCTACGTGGCCACTCTTTGGCTTCGAACTTCGTCTACGTGGCCACGTAGAGGAAGCCAAAGGCAAAGGGGCCGAAGACCTACATCACGTGTTCATCTACGTGGGGCTAGTACACAGTCATTGTAGTTGGCCTTGGCAGTGTTGCACACGTAAGAATAACGCGTTGTTCGATCAATTCCAAGAACTAGACATCACTTACGTGACTTTGTCTTTAGCTAGCTGGCGTGTACGTGTCCCCAGTGGTTCGCATGGTCACTACCAGCTAGCTGTGTGTAAAAATCAGTGGTTGTGGATTCGCCTACATAACAGCATGGCAATTGGCGCGTATAACAGGCTTTGGGAGAGATTTGTTTCAGTTGTAGCGAGTATCAGTAGCTAACACTACTACTAGTACTACGGTACTAGTACTAGTAGTTCCCGAGGCTTGCCTTCCTACTGAACAGATTTCAATTCTTCTCTAGATTTACTGATGGTGTTGCTGTCCCGCTGTAGCTAGGCGAATACACTGATTGTCGTAGTTGAAACTCAAATTCTCTGCTAACTAGTACGAGGCTGCAGAATTCGGCAGAAGCTCAGCTAGACGGATCGAAGACTCTCACTACCACGGACGGTAAGGTGAACTGAAGGCTTGAACATCTGCTTACTCAATTTGCTGAATTTCCCGTTGTTCGCAATTATTTTTTCGCACTAAAGCAAAGTTTCGTTGCATTGCTTGTGTCGGGACTATCAAGCCTAGTTCACATTCGACGGGGCGCGACGGGACGCGACGTAAGGATCGACGGGAAGCGACGGGACGGTTTGACGGCGTCCAATGTGAACACCAGGAACGGGAACGCAACCGTACTACACGGGTGTTTGCAGTGCATGA